AGGCGGAAATGAGGAGACTGGGGCAGGCCAGCCCGGGTGAGGGGGTGGGGGGCTCCCGCTCCGCACAGCAGGGTAGCTCCCTCCCCATCGTGGGTGCGGTGTTAGCAGCCGCGGCCCAGGAGCCCGTGGGCAGCTGCTGTTGGAGTGACGTCATTGCTATAGCCGACTCCTTTCATCTTTTTGTCTCCTTCCTCCACCTCACTTTTTGAGTTCAAAGTGAAAATTGTGATAATTTACTGGTTTACCATTTCTTTGAATGGTTAGCATTTAACCAGATTTCTAAAGGCCCCTTTAGCTCATTCTAATTGGAATTTTTGATCATGAAGTTTGAGCTGGGCCGGGATTGACTTTGCACCCTCTGTAAGGAAAGGGCAGTTTTGGTACTTAGTATGGTTTAAGAAATCAGCCAGAGGCTTTTCAGAGAGTCATTGTTTGGGGGCAAATATGCTATTGATTATAAGGGAGTACTTTTCAATTAAAACGGGAACTTTCTAAATTCTTCTAATTTCCTACTGGCTTCAGAATAGTCCAGTGGGTGTCAGGATTGGAGGTTTATACATGAAAGAAGATTGACCATTTGGCAGTTGTGCAAGCTGGGTGTTGTGTTGTGTACATGAAAGTCTATTATCCGATTCTTCTCTACTTTTGTATATGTTCGCAGTGTTACATTTTAAAAAGTTATTGAAGCAGTTTATAATGCAAATGTTATCGCTGTCCTCCTCCCCTCCCCCCCCATTTAATGCGAATGGTAGGATTAACTGTGTGAGTGACGTGTATAGCATTAAAACTTGTCCAGATATTCATGACCTGCAACACATCAATTGCGCTCCTTTAGACTCCGGAGTGTCTCTGTAATCATTCAGTACCTGAGTGGCAGTATTTAATTTTGTAAATCAATTGTAGGCGTCAGCTTCAGACTCAGGCAGAACTGGTTTTAGAGGAAAACAAGTTGTTGATAGAGCAGCTGGAGATTCAGCAGAGAAAAGTCAAGGACACCCACCAGGAGCGTCTCCAGGAAGGTGAGCTATCTTTCCAGCCTCATTTGACACTGGTGCCCCCACCCCCCACCCTGCTCCTGGTAGGGACCCCTTCAAATTACCAATGGAGGAAATCACGTTTTCTAGAATGTGTTCCTCTTTACCGAAAGGCAGCTGTTTATGTTATAACATATCCAATCATGACCCAAAGCACATTGATTGCTTTCTCTTAGACTCTACCGTGTCTTTCCAGTTATTCCATTTATCTTATAAGGCAGATGTAGATGACCCCTTTAGAGTCAGCAGAACTGGGTGTGGGGGGGCTAGTGCCACGTAAGTGGAAAAAATATGTGAGGTGAATATTTGAAACAACGCCAGGCTCGGTTCCTGAATATTTGTTACGTGAGTAAATAAGTAGAATGAATTCGCTCTCTGAACAGTTTCTTTGTGCTCTTGTCCTTCCTTCAGAGCTGTGGGTGCTGTGACAGGCTGTCTCCCTTCCATACCTTCTGTGAGCACCCCCCTCTCCCCATGTGTCCCTCCCAGCTCCTAGGAACCTCACAGCATGTGGCCGTGGGCTTTGAAGTGGGCCAGATTGAGTCATTTCTTCCACTTTGGTTAAACCCCAGATTTATGAGCACAGAAGGTAGTGGCATTTTCTTCCTTTTGCTTTACTGACTTTTCTTTTCCAGTGAAGAATAATATAGCACAGGAGGGCAGAATATAAGTGTAACCTCCCCTTTCTGTTTTCCCCTCTGCTCCTGATTATTTAATGACTGCCCTGTAACACCCTGGGCACTAAAGCCCCCGCTGCTGCTGAGGTCACTGGGCTGGCTCTTCATTTGTTTCCATGAGCCAGCTCATGTGGAAAAGTGAGAGTGTCTGGGGGCGCCTGGGGGCTCAGTTGGCTGAGCGTCTGACTCTTGGTATCAGCTCAGGTCATGATCTCCCAGTCGCGGGGTTGAGCTTTGCATCAGGCTGTGCGCTCAGCCCAGAGTCTGCTTTAAATTCTCTCTCTCTCCCCCCACCCCCACCACGCCCCCAGCCCCCTTTCACCCTCTGTCTCTCTCAAATAAAATCTAAAAAAAGTTTAAAATAAAAAGTAAATACAAATAAAACATCAGAGTATCCAACAGGAGTTTCCTTCACAGGACTTCCCCTTAGACTCTACGTGGCACAGATGTATTTGCTTTTACTCTGGCATTACTTGGTGGTGGAGGAGGAACAAAGCCTCCTGTCTTTGTTTTCAAAATCAGAGATGGCAGGGAAAATTAATTTTGTAATTTCCTGAGCTTAATTTCTTTAAATGTTGCAGATACGAACAGGTATGATGCTGGTTCTGGTCATGTAGAATGGCGCCAACCTTTAGGCCTGTATGATTTGATCCAGTCAGCTGCCTGTCCTATTTTCCCATTTCCCAGAAGGAGCTATTCATTCTGATCAGCTAAATCTTTTCATAGAGTAGAAGGATTTAAAATTTATGCTCTAATACTTCTAAGTGCTACTTTCAATAGATGTCCGGGAGGTATCTTATCATTACATACAGGGTGTTGCCCAGGGCGAAAATATTTATGATTTACTTTTAAACATAACTTAATGAGGAATGAGAAGAAAAGTTGGGCCATATTTGATGTCGTTAAAGACTTGAAAATCTTGCAGTTTTAGGAACAACATCATGATGCTGCACGTCTGTGTGTTGTGACTTAAGGCTTCAGCCTTTGGAAAGTCCGTTCCTTGAAGGCTAAAATCCTGTCTTGTTTAATTAACATCATATATTAACAGTGATATCAACATATTGAGCCCCAGTAAGAAAGTCGATATTCAGTAAATGTTTAATATAGGGACAGTAATTTTTTTTTTAATTTTTTTTAAAAGATTTCATTTATTTATTTGTCAGAGAGAGAGAGAACACAAGCAGGGGGAGTGGCAGGCAGAGGGAGAAGCGGGCTCCCCGCTGAGCAGAGAGCCCAATGCAGGACTCGATCCCAAGACCCTGGGATCATGACCTGAGTTGCCGGCAGATGCTTAACGGACTGGGCCACCCAGGCGTCCCAGGACAGTAATTTCTAAGTACAAGGTTTTTGGTATTAATTTATAAATCTCCAGAAGATTTTTTCAAGATTATTATTTATAAGCTGGCTCTCCTGGGTATTACCTAGTAATCAATAATCATGTTTTCTTAAGTCTTCTGTACCAAGTCTTTATCCATCTCGTTTGTTTTTCAGTTTCTAAACTGACTAAACAACTAATGCTTCTGGAGACTAAAACACAGAACCAAAAAAAAGAACTAACTGAAAACAAGGAGCAGTTGGAAATTTTACGTACTGAATGCCAGGACCTAAAAACACAGTTGGATGGTAAAATTGCAGTGAACGTTCATGCTTCAATTGTAAATGAATTAAAAAGGTAAGGATACAATGTCTTGTCAAGTTTGAGTGCATCACCATGCGTGTGGTTTTAGGTGGAGTAGAGAGAGGTTGCCCGTCTTCTTCTGAGTCATGTAGCTACACCAGCAAGGGGTCTGGGACTGAGAATCGTAAATCTATTATTACTAAAGGACACTATGCCTGTCCTTGAGGGCCACGGTCTGCACTTTGTATATGATTTCTTTTCCCCCTTCTCTTCCAGCCTTTATTGGTTTTAGACCCAAAGATAATTTAAAGTAGTAGAACTGGAAACCTGGATATCCAGTAATAGGGAACGGATTAAATGAAAGGATACAACCATAAAATGAAATGCAATGCAGCCATTAAACAGGATGTCACAAACGAATCTTTTGGGGAGTTTGAGAAAATATATATTTTTAGGTGAAGAAATTAGATGACAAAACCTATGTATAGAATGATCACAATTTTGTTTAAAAAGAAAAAAAGTGTGTATATGTATGTGTATTAAGGTAACCAACCATCCCAGTTTTGCTTGGGACTGCGGTTTTCCCAGGATGTGGGAATCCCAGTGCTAGAACTGAGAAAGTCCAAGGCAAACTGGGATGAGTTGATCATTCTAGTGTGCATGTGTCTTTATATATGTAATTATATATATGTATAAATACATATACACACTTGTATGTATATGGTCACACACACATATACCATAGGTACATAGAAAAAAAGACTGGAAGAAGGGAAAGATATTAACCAAAATTCTCCTTGGCAGGTGAAATTCTATGTATATCTGTAGTCAATGTTCTCTAGAAAAACAACTGTTTTTCTATATATAGGGGATGTGTATAGATATTTCTAGAGAGAGAGAGTTTAAAGAATTGGCTCACACAGTTATAGGGGCTGGCAGATCCAAAGTCCATTGGACAGCCAGCTGGCTGGAAACTCAGGCAGGATTTCTGGGTTAGTCTTGAGGCAGAATTCCTTCTTTGGGCGACCTCAGTTTTGGCTCATAAAGCCTTCAGCTGATTAGATGGGGCCCACCCATGTTATTAAGGGTAATGTTTTACTTAAAGTTCAGTTGCTTATAGATGTTAATCACATCTACAAAATGCCTTCACAGCAGCATCTATCTAATATTTGTCCAAACAAACTGGGCACCATAGCCTAGCTAAGTTGACACATAAAATTAAAAATCAAGGGGCGCCTGGGTGGCTCAGTTGGTTAAGCGACTGCCTTCGGCTCAGGTCATGATCCTGGAGTCCTGGGATCGAGTCCCGCATCGGGCTCCCTGCTCGGTGGGGAGTCTGCTTCTCCCTCTGACCCTCCTCCCTCTCATGCTCTCTGTCTCTCATTCTCTCTCTCTCAAATAAATAAATAAAAAATAAAATCTTAAAAAAAAAAAAAATTAAAAATCAAAATGGGTAATTTAAATTTTCTTTGTGTTTTTTAAAAAATATTTTACATGTGTAAAATGAATATGAATATGCATTACTTTTGTAATGGGGAAATAATTTTTTAAATGGTGAGGCTTTCAGCTAAGATGGTTGACGTTGGGGAATAAATGAGTTGGTGCATGTGAAGTGCTTAGTTTTGGTACTTTAGTAAATGCTGGGGATTCCAACTACTGGAACCCAGTGTTTTGACTGTACTATTACACGCTGTCTGGGCCAGACCTGTACTTTACTTTCCTATTCCAGTAGAGGAAGGAAATTTTTTTTGAAGTTCTGTTTGTCTTAATGATTTTATTTCCCTCAAACACCCACTCCTGTGGCTGATTTTTTTTTTTTTTTGTGGATGTCATAATCACATATTCTTTTTTATTTTTTTAAGATTTTATCTATTTACTTCAAAAAGAGAGAGTGAGTAAGCGGGGGAGAGTGGCAGCAGGGGAGGGAGAGGAAGAGGGAAAGAATCCCAAGAATCAACACGGGGCTCCATCTCATGACCCTGAGATCATGACCTGAGCCGAAACCAGGAGTCAGACGCTCACCTGATTGAGCCACCCAGGTGCCCCCATAACCACATATTCTAATGGCCCCCTAGATGTGAGTATAAAAGGTATAAAATCCTTCAAAAGGAAGCCACTGATGGGAAGGCAGTGGAAGACATGGTTGTTGAAAAGGCAAACATGTCACCAGATCTCTTGTAAGTGGAAATCAGGTGAGGAATGTTGTGGTGGAGTGAGCTAGAATAGGGATGGAAAGCCTTTATGCCAGCTTTTGCCAGGAGGCTTTGGGCTCAGAGTTGACGGGTGGGGTAGAGGATAGACAGTAAGAGTGGACGTGGACAGTGTTGACCCTGATGGTTCTCTATTGGAAGGTGCAGTGATTGGTGAGAGCATCAGTAACATGGGAAGGTGGCATGAGTCCATCAGGGATGGAATATGTGAATTCAGGGAAGTCTGTAGAGGCAGACAAAGTAAGGAGACTACTACAGACGTGAGGTCAGCCAAGGACACCTTGGAGTTGGGCTGAAGGGAGCCGGAGGGCTGCAAGGCTTCAGTGCACCTGCCCTCTGGTTGCCTCCGTTAGGGGGGCTCCCTTCCCACACTGATAGGGTAGTAAGAGATGTGCCACGTGTGCAAGAGTAGCCATTAGTTAGCAGCCAAGCAGCTGTGGAACTGGTTCCCCCAATGGGGGTGAGTCTGAGGAGGACTTCGGGAAAGAGTGGGGACACAGGCAAAGATGAGGTCATGAGAAAAAGATTTTTGTTTATATAGAAAAGGGTTAAATTGAACCTGTGCTCCATGAGCTTCTAGGTATGGTGCATGTGTGTTGTTTCTCCTTTTCTGGTTCGGGGCAGTGCAGATCATAAATATGGAGTGGCTTCTCCATTTAGTCTGCTTGTTCTACCTGTCGGCAACCTTGCCTGGGAGGAACTGTGACCCCAGAAATGGCAGGAGGTTATTTTCCAAGTGAAGTGTCCAGTTGACTTACAGTTGTACTGGTGGTCACACCTGGAAGCTTCAGTTGTTCTTTGCTTTTACTGCTGCTTACAAAGGTTGAGCCTACTCAGGATGGGTGGTGGGAGAAAAACAGGGAGTCATCCTACTTAAGAAAGTTAGCAAACTTGTTTAGGGAGAGCTAAGTGTTTGGGGGACTAGTGGTATCTATACAAGGGAAGCCTTCCTTACCCTGGCTTTTGGGGCACGGAAGGGGCTATTCTAAAGTGAAGCCGACTATTCACATAACTCCTCTGTGTAGACAGAGTCCTGCTCAGCAGTCAGTGATATGCCTGCTCAGGGAGATGTCAGGGCAGAAAAGCAGTCTCCTTACACAACACACACCAAATGCCAAGTCCTTCATCCTAAAATAAGAACAGACTCCTAGGTGTGAACAAATGACAAGGATCATTGGGTATAATGGGAAAAAAATGCAATAAAAGAGGGAGACCTACATAAGCACAGAAACTCACTTCAAAGAAAAAGATAATATAGAGAACTCAGAATCTAGAGAATAAAATGCTGTAAAAAAGTTCAATCATTAAGAGCAAGATTAGAACTGATTATCAGAATCTAAAGAAAATTCAGGAGAAGGGCTAAAAGACAAATTGTCAGTTCTGCTAGAGCATAAGGAAACAGACAATTGGGAATGTCACCACCAGCAGACCTACATTAAAGGCAGTTCTCAAAGAGGGTCTACATTAGGAGGAAGAACATAATTCAGTGCTGGATGTATGGGAGGCAAGGTAAACTAGAGTAAAAAAGACACAGTAAATATGTAAATAAATGTAAATGAACATTGATTCCATAAAACAGTAATAATATCTTTTGGGATTTAAAAATGCATAGAATTCAAATGCACAACAATAATAGTATATAATCAGGAAAAGGGTCAATGGAGTTTGTCTTCTAAAGTCTTTATATCATTCTGGAGAGGAGAAAGGTGTTGATTCACTTTATAGTTTGAAAATACACATGGTGAAATTTGTGGAAAGAATGTAACTTCTAAACTAGTACAGGGAAAAAATGATTTTTTTTTTTTAATTGGTCGGAATGAGGGCAAGAAAAGATAGGACAAATGGTAAAATAGAAAATGCAAAATGAAAAGATTTAAAGGCAAATATATCAGGAATAGATAACACCAAAGAGGCTAAACTTAAATTAACATATGTTAAGTAGAGCCCTGGGGTGTTGGATGGTGAGCCACAGTAAGACCGCAAGGGAAAGTGAAATAGAAAAGTTTGTACCCACAGGTACCTGGAGGGGCCACGTGGGGACGTCAAGGCAGGGTGCCTAGCGCACATGAGGGTCAAAAGAGCAGGGTTTTAGCAAGCTTCAGGTCTCTTACTTATGGGGCAGTGAGGGAAAGTCCTTTGGAGGTGGGGAAGAATGCTCGTTACATGGAGGACTCATACCAGGAATGTACATTTACCTGTGACCCTACGGGCTGTGACCGAAGTCCTGTGGACAGGGGAGGCTCGCTTCAGCTCAAGGCCTCATGCAGGCCGGACATGGTGGGTTCCAAGGCAGAGATACTATTGAGTGTGTAGCTCAGCTCTCCAGGGCAACTCTGTGCTGCCTTTAAGCTATACATCTCAATCAGAAAGACACAGACAGGTCCAAGGTGAAAGGGCAGAAAAAGCCATACTACCAAATACAAACCAAAAGAGAGGTGCTGAGTTCCATTAATATCTGGCAAGACAGATGACTAGGTAAAAAACACTACTTAACAAAGAGAATCAGTTGTTGGAGAGAAAAGACTCTGTCTACCAAGTAGATGTTTAAATGTGTGTGTACCCACCAGAAATAAGTTCCTATCAATACATTTGAAAATTCAGGTGAAATAGTGATATTCCTGGAAAAACATAACTTCCCAAAACTGACTCAAAAAGAATACCTGAATATTCCTTTAATCATTAAAGAAATAGAATCCAAAGATCGTTCCTTGAAGAAAACTGTAAGCCTAGATACCTTCACCAGAGTGTTCTAAAAATACTCAAGGAGGAAATAATTCCAGTCTTACATAAACCCTTCTAAACAGAAAAAGAGTTAATGCCACCTAATTCATTTTATAAGATCAATGTCACTTTGATATCAAAACCCACCAATTATAAGAAAGGAAAATTACTTTTCATTTTCACCCATGAATCTAAATGTAAAAACTTTTTTTTTTAAGATTTTATTTATTTATTTGAGAGCAAGTGAGAGAGAGCACAAGCCAAGGAGAGAGGCAGAGGGAGAGGGAGAAGCAGACTCCCCGCTGAGCAGGGAGCCCAACATGGGGCTCGATCTGAAGACCCTGGGATCATGACCTGAGCCGAAGGCAGATGCTTAATCGACTGAGCCACCCAGACGCCCTTAGATGTAAAAACTCTTAAAGTATTTACCAAAAAATGTTCTGTTTCTTCACCTATATGGTAATTATATGAGGGTTTGTTATAATTATTTATTAAAATATGCATTTATTTTTTACATACTTTTCTATATGTGTATTTCACAATTTAAAAAATTTTAAATCAATGGCTTTTTACCGGAAGAACTAAAATCAAAAGTGATCAGTACAGGTTTCCTCTGGGGAACCTGAGGAGTAGAATAGGAAACATTTTATTTTTAAAAGATTTTATTTTAAGCAACTATTTTGGGGCTCCAGCCTGGCTCAGTCAGGGGAGCGTGTGACTCTTGATCTTAGGGTTGTGTGTTTGAACCCCATGTTGGGTGTAGAGATTAAATAAATAAATCAAGCAAGCAAGCAACTATTTCTTCCACCAGCTATTAACTTTTTTTTTTTTAAACAAATTGCTTTTACCTCTTTGTTTGTTTTGCTTAAGAAATATATTGTTAGAAATACACCTGAAGTCCTTTTTAACCACTCTCCTTAGTCCAATATTTATCCCTGGCTTTCTAAAAGGAATCACTACCATATACTTGGAATTACATTTCCAATCTGTTTTTTATTTCCACATGTTTCTATAAATGACATGTGGCATTTTTTTGGTGTGTCTTAAGTTTATATGAATGAATTCATGCTTTTAGTATCTTGGACTTTTACACTCAATTTTTCAAACATCTCTCCATGTTGAAATAGCTATTAGAGTTTATTCTTTTAGCTTCTGCCTGGTGGTATTCCATCATATGAAATACTACATTTTACTTACCTTAGTGGAAGTTTAAATTGTTAATAAATTTGCTCCAGTAAGTAGTGCCACAGTAAGATTTTGCGTATGTGTCATCAGAGTTTCCCTACATACGTATTTAGAGGTGACACTGTTGGCCCACAGGGTAAGTGCGTTTTCTAGAACTTAACGTATTGCTCTCTGAGGTAACTATGCTGGCCCACTGATACCTTCCCAACATTCTCTATAGCCCCACTTGCTTTTCGTTGTGAACTTTTCTTTAGTGATTGAATTGGTACCAGGTGAGTACATTACTTTGGCAAAAATATGTTTAAAGAAAATTCTAAAATCAAAACAAAAGACAGTGAAGAAAAAAGATAAAGACCTCAGTTTCATGGTTTTTATCTAGATATGTCCTCCGCTCTTTGACTAATTAGTAAACTAGAAAGTAATGGAAACTATCTGGAAAATCCCTGCCGGGGTGCTCAGGGAGCCAACCCAGGCCAAAGTCACTGAAATTGTCTGACTAGTGAGGCAGACCCACACACATGCAAGCTGCGCCCATTTGCCGGCCAGCAAGCCTGGTAGTAAGGCCCATGCGGTACCCAGAGAGACCCTCCTTTCAGAATTGGGCAGCCTCTGTGCGCATGGCTCCACCTGTTCGTCCTGGTTATTCCATGAGAACTGACCAAGAGAACCAACGAAGAAATCACTCTTTCCTCAAGCATTATTTTGCCAGAACTATATATTGAAATTGTGTGCCCTCCTTGTTCTTTTGTTGCTTTTATCATAAAAACATAGAGTTACTTTAGTATGACATAAAATTTGTTTTAGCATTAGGATTTGGGGGAGGCAATTATAACTATGTAAAAAATGAAGCAGTCTTAAATTCTTTCTGGAATGGGGCGCCTGGGTGGCTCAGTCGTTAATTGTCTGCCTTCGGCTCAGGTCACGATCCCAGAGTCCTGGGATCAAGCCCCGCATCGGGCTCCCTGCTTGACGGGAAGCCTACTTCTCCCTCTCCCACTCCCCCTGCTTGTGTTCCCTCTCTCGCTGTGTCTCTCAAATAAAATCTTAAAAAAAAAAAATTCTTTCTGGATGGAATATAGGGTACAAATAAGAATATCTATATAAAGGCATAAGCAACGGTTATGGGCAGGAAAAGCGTTAGATCATTACCATCAAAAAACTGTGTGCCCAGCCCCTAGGATTTGCATCCCAGGCCCTTTGAGAGGGGATGGGCAGCGTTTGCACGGGGGCCTTCATAGACCCCCGCAGGCTGGTGGGCTTTCGGGCTGGGCTGCCCCTGGCTTGCCTGGCAGCAGCAGCCTCTTACTAGTTTCAGTGTGCTGGATCCAAGCCTGTGATGTTTTTGTCCGCCAGCCAGTTGCAGAAGGAAGAGGAGAAAGGAGGTGCCGAGATGGAAGAGTTGATGGGAAAGTTGGCACTGCTGCAAGTGCAGAAACAGAGCCTGCTCTTAGAGAAGAACAGTCTGGCAGCTAAAAACCAAGCACTGGGAGCCGAACTCGACAGGGCACAGAAAATAAATAGGTTTTTATCTATTTTTTCTTAAGCTGTTTTGTTTTGGGGGGTGGTTAGTATTAAAAAGAAAAAATTAAATATTCTGTTTTATTTTCTTTGTCTTTTCTTTTTCTAATATTGGCTATAAAATGGAAAAGGATCATTAAGATTACTGGGTATCAAAAGAAAACTACAGTAAAGGCTCTTCTGTTGACCAGTGTTAGCCAACATTTCTCAAGTCTATAGTTCAATTATAGTTGATAGTCATAATGATGACCCTAAGACTCTGAAAGTCCTAGAAGTTCTTTCCTACACATTTCCCAGAACTTGGCTTTGGGTAACTGGACTCCTTTTTCAAAAGCATCTTTTAGAGCACAATCCAAAAAATGAATGGAATAATACATACAAAGTAACCTATTAACTGTGTTAAGCATTTTGTGATACCTGTTGACTTGATTTGGAGTCAATAATTATGCATCACTTAAAATTAAACTCATTTACCTCTTCTCACCCTAAAACTTAATAGAAGATTTAGGTTGCTGAAGAATACATTTAAGTACTAACATACTTGCTATTTTTACAATGCAGATATTCACTATGTCCTAGCCATTCAGGCTAATGAGTTTTTTATTCCACCATTTGGGGGAACTCTCTAGGAGGTCTCAAAAGAAAATTGATGTCCTCAAAAAGCAGGTGGAAAAAGCCATGGAGAAGGAAAGGTCTGCTCACCAGTACCTGGCAAATCTTGTCAGCCTGGCAGAGAATATAACCCAGGAACGCGACAGTCTTATGTGTTTGGTAAGCTCCCTCACTTTCTTCAAGTACACTGAAAGTTAATATGTAAAGGTAATTTTAAGAGCATTTTCTTGAGATGCCTGGGTGGCTCAGTCAGTTGAGCGTCCGACTCTTGATTTCAGCTCAGGTCATGATCTCAGGGTCCTGGGATCGAGCCCCGTGTCAGCCTCCACCCTCAGTAGGGTTACTGCTTGAGATTCGCTCTCTCCTTCTCCCTTTACCCCTCCCCCCCACTCTTCTTCCCTCTCTCTCTCAAATATTTTTTTTAAAAAAGCATTTTCATTACAAAATTATCCATAAAAATCTTCATCTTTTTAAATTTTAGCTGCACATTTTCAGATTCTCCAAAATTTTAGCTTTCAACCATGGAGGAAGAACATTTTTGAAAGACAAATAACCCAGACTTTTAAATAATGGTAAATGATATTTTAGAAGGTAAACTAATGGAATTAGTCCATTTAACCAAATAGAGCCGTGGTCATCACGTGTTTATTACACATGCATCTTCATATTCTCTCTGTAAATTACACATGCATCTTCATATTCTCTCTGTAAAGTTGACTTAATGTGTTCCCTGTTTGAAGATGAAACAGAACCATAGGCAGGTTAAATAGAGTTCATCCCATGTTGCTTCTGGTAGCCCTGGTCCTAAAGACAGAACTGAGTGGATCACTGCTGCTCCTAGATGATGGAGCACTGCCCGGCCAGCAGGAGCGATGCCGCCGACATGATTCCTGGCATTTTCCACACTGATTTTATTTTATTTTATTAAACAGTTTAATCCTCAAAGTTTCTCTTTTTTTATGATTTTATTTATTTGAGAGAGAGAGCACGAGCAGGGGGAGGAGCAGAGGGAGAAGCAGACTCCCTGCTGAGAAGGGAGCCCTGACATGGGGCTCCATCACAGGACCCCGGATCATGACCTGAGCTGAAGGCAGACACTTAACTGACTGAGCCACCCAGGCACCCTTTCCACACTGATTTTAAAAGGTGTCAGCTGTAGGGCTGCGCAGTGAAAGAAGACAGACTCCATGCCAAGCTGGACGCAGTGTAAAAGCCCAATAGAATTTACCACAAAATAGGAGTTACATAACAGTATCTCCAAGTGGTGAAATTATAGGCAATTAAAAAGAAATCTTGCTTACTTGCACTTTGTGATTTTTCAACTTTGAGCACGTACTGCTTACATACATTTAAATGTTTGTTTAAGCAATGTTGCAAATCTCTGGTAGCCTAGGACTAGAAGTAATAATTTAGTGGAGGTCATGACGGAGGAGACCAGAGGACTTCCTGAGACAGTTGGAAATTGGCAAACTTGGAATCACTCAGCCCCTTCTCCCAGATGAATGGTTTGGGGAGTCTGTCAGGATATGGTACAGGCTTATTCACATCTGCTAGGAAGACATTCAGCTCCTCCATAGGAAAGTGGACATAGGCTTTTAGCTATTGTTTATATAAGAGGAAATATAAGTAGCACACAGCTCTTGGGGGAATATGTGATCCTTACTTGTAATAAAAGATGCTAATTAAGCCAATCTTGAGATACTGTTCTGTACTTACAAGGTCACCAAAAAAAAAATTTTTTTTTTTTAAATTATAATAGTTGTTGGTAGGAGTGTGGTTACATGTTAGTGGTGATTTCTAAGTCCTTTCTGGGTCTTTCAGAAGCACTGTGACTCAGACGCAGCATGGTAGGGGCCTAAGCATGCACACCCCCTGTCCTAGCAGCCCCCGTCCTGAGAGGTCACCAGCCTAACCCGTGCTGGACTCGGGCATTTTCTGTAGCAGCACTGAGCACCCTTTTCCTCTTCAGCCATGCCTCCTGGGCCTACCCACTGGAATAGCAAGACTGCAAAGCAGAAGTTTGCTAGAAAATGGAAGGTGCCAATCGGCTCAGTCCTCTAAGCAGACATTCATGGGCACCCAGCTGCCACGTGTCAGTACCACTCTAAGGGCGAACCCAATTTGTAGGGCAGCACCCTGCAGGCTCCCCCAGGAGGCAGGCCCTGTACCTCCCACGTGGGTCAGTGATCACCCAGGTTTCTATGATGAAGTTGACATCCTCCCCAACCCTCAGATGGTCTCTCTTAGGCCCACCCCTCATATCTGTGGGCCCAGAATGGGAATATAAATGGGAGCCATATACTATTTGTCCAAATACTTAGAAATTAAGCCAACAATCTGTTAATGAAATGTGTTCTCTCTTCCTGCCTTGACCTTTGTTATTATGGCCTGAAAATGAGGCTTGGGTTCAAAATCCTTAGACCCCCCAGATGTGGGGGGGCTGCTTTCATCCCACCTTACCTCTGCCCACCACAAGGGACTTCTGTGTATATACAGACACTGCTGTCCCCTTGCCCCTGCAAGCTCCTTGTACCTGGGAGCCCCAAGGTCAGCCCCTCTAGCTGGGGTCCAAGGGTGGTACAGCTGCTTCTGGCCTGCCCTGGGACTATGGGCCAAGCGTCCCAACCTTACCTATCCTGGTCTCCTAGACCTTAATTAATTAATTAATTAATTGATTTTTTTTTTAAAGATTTTATTTATTTATTTGACAGAGAGACACACAGCGAGAGCAGGAACACAAGCAGGGGGAGTGGGAGAGGAAGAAGCAGGCTTCCTGCTGAGCAGGGAGCCCGATGTGGGACTCGATCCCAGGACCCTGGGATCATGACCTGAGCCGAAGGCAGACGCTTAAC